CTTGCTCCCCTCAGCTTGCTCACCGGCTTGGAGACGCCGGATTACAAATAATCTCTGTGCCGCAGTAGTCCGGAGCTCCGAACAGCTTTATTCCGGCGTGGGGGGGTCAGGCAGGGTTTCTTCTTCTCCAGAGGAGGAAGCGGTGGAAAGGCTAGCGAGTCTGAGATGGGAAAGTGCGCTGCGTCTGCGCGAGGAGGTCGCGCAGCTCCAAAGCTCTCCACTTTGGCCAACAGCGGCGCCCAGAGTCCGCACTAGGAAACTGCAGCCCCCGCTGCTTAAGTTTAAACAGCTAAAATAATTATAACCGTGTGCCTAATTTAATATGCCATATTTTTATGTTAATATATTTAATACCTTAAATTATCAAGACTTCCTTAAGGTATCTTTTATTTTGTTTCCAAATTATTAGAAATATCATGTTGGGCCTGTATACAAACTTACATATATTGGTCCATTTATTTCACCATTCTACAAACATACATTGAACTTTTGCTTTGTGTTAAGTACTGTCCTTGTCAGTGGCCATATAACAAAGAATAAGACACAGGTCTTGCCCTCAGAGAGTTTATTGTCTGCTAATTTCACGAATCGTTTCTGTTTATTAGCTATGATATATAAAAAAATTTTAAGCTTCTTTCACTGATTCCTATGTTTATCCCCAACATTTCTACATACTCAATGCTATTTCATATCACATATATTAGAGAAATCAATACTGTTGAAAACTATTTTGTAAAATTGTGTAATTTTGTACCAATCCTCAAACATCTCCTTCTGATCATCTCAACACTCTCTTTACAAAATAATTTCTTTTTACTCTTCTATCTCAAGAAGTATTCATTCAAGAAAACTGTCCCTATGATGTAGCCAGGATATTATTTACTGTACCTCCTACTTCATATCTCAAAATTAACTGGCTTATGTCATGCCCAATATCACATACAAATTCATCCTTAAAATGTATTGAAATGTTAGTCTATCCTTCAATACAAAGTCACAAAGGGATATTCTAATAGAATGCATTAGCTCCTTATCTATGTACTTCTGTTATGCTAAAGTAATGGCTTCAGAATTGGAGGAATTGAGCTCATGGTAAATGTACTTACATAAATTCACTGAATGTAGTGACACCTGTTCTAATTATTTTACTCCACTTGTTTAAAAAATTTTTGCAATTAGTGAATGCTTTGAGCAAGAGTATTGGGGCAACTTTCCACACACTTTTTAAATTTGCAAAGTGTCAACAAAATAGCTGTCTCCTCAAGTGACTGTACACCCAAACACTACAGAAAATATGAAGTTAACTCCTACCCATTGTATACGCAAAATTGGAAGGAACATAGCACAATCCCTGGGAAATGTCCTTTTAATTACTAACGAATAATTCATTGTGATTTCCACTCTCATCTGATGACAAATCAGAGGTTAGTTTTATTTAAATGCTATAACAAGGGATACGGAAGTCATATAGTCCAGACAGAATCATTTTTAATTGAATTTTAATCACTTTTAATTGAATCATTTTTGATTGGTTTGTTTAGAATTTGTGTACATGTAACTTCTGTTCTTAAAACCAACACTCTCGAACTCTAACCATGAGAACACAGCACATTTCACATGGCTGTACAATCAAAACAGCTCATTGGAATTCTAATGAAACGCATTCTTCTGTATTTTACAAAAGTCATTTTCAACAATTTAAAATGACATGTTATTGCAAATTTGATGGGGGCAGGGGGCAATGGCCATTTTAGGCTTCAGATTCTATGTCTCCATTGGTATGAGTCCTGGGTGGCCACTGACACACAAAAACAGTGGTGTGTGTGTTAGGGACCAGTCTCATCTACCACCACCCTTTAAAATATGTTTGTTTTGAAATATAAGAAGTATTAAAGCTTTGAACGGTAGTGATCCAGATGCAGGGCTCAGAAAAGAGGTTTAAAGTGAAGAAAATTTCATGAGCCTAGTTTTAGTTTTAGCGAAGAATTCTTAGGATTCTTTGCAATCCTAAGAATCCTTAAAATTCTGAGATGTATTTTGCTTTTACTAAGCTAATACAAGGGTTTAGAAGCCTCAATAATGTTTTGTAAGTTTTAATGTATATGTATACATATATATGTGTGTATATATACACACACACACATATTCCTATATATAAAATGAACTGACCATATGTGATTGGGTAACTATTTCTTAAGTGAATAAGTGATAATTGTGGTAAAATATGGAAGGCTTTAAGAGGTCAAGAGTTCATATTTAAACAATCTTGTCTAAGCCTTTGGAAAGCAGATAAAACAATTATGTTGATTAGAACTCAATTTTATGGTATCACTAACACAAACCCAAAACTTTGTGGTACACCTTAAAATTATTTTTAAACTTTCTTCGCAGTGCATGTTTCAAAACACAAATGTATAAAAAATATAATTCCTCTAAGAAATAAACGTAAACAAAGAACTGAACTCACCTGAACAGAAGCAGCTTCATCCCTACATTCATGAAAATCTCTGGATGTTAACAAGGAATCCTTTTTCTCACAGCTCTCCTGGCTGATGAGCGTGTCCGCATAGTTGGGCTGCGGGAAGATCACGTGACTCCCCCGCGAATCAGAGGTAAGGGTGACCTCATGGGAATATGTCTTCAGGAAAGCCTGTACTCCCTCCATGCCCACAAAGCCTGAGGCTGGCAGGCCTGCCAACCCGACGCCCGAAGCCTGGAGAAGACTCGACTTGTGCCACCGCCACAGTCTGAGAGCCAGCAGCACAATGACAAAGGCGAGGAAGATGCAGGAAACAACGGCCACTGCCACCACCAAGTATAGTGTGAGGTCTGAATCATCAGAGCTGGTGGGGGTCCTGATACTACCCAGGTCGGCAAGGACTTCTGGGATGCTGCTGGCCACTGCCACGGTGAGTGTGACGGTGGCAGAGAGAGGGGGCTGGCCATGGTCCTGGACCGCCACCACCAGGCTCTGCTTGAGCGCGTCTCTGTCCAGCAGGGCCCGCGCTGTGCGCACCTCGCCCGTGTGCAGCCCTACCGCGAAGAGTCCCGGCTCGCTGGCCTTGAGCAGGCGGTAGGACAGCCAGGCGTTCTGACCTGAATCTCTGTCCACAGCCACCACCTTGGTCACCAGGTAGCTGGGCTCTGCAGAGCGGGGTGCCAGCTCTACACCCGTGGAACCATCGGTGGGAAGCATGGGGTACAGGATCTCTGGCACATTGTCGTTCTGGTCCAGGATGAACAGGCTCAGTGACACGTTGCTGCTGAGTGGAGGGTCCCCGCTGTCACTGGCTGTCACCAGTAGCTGCAAGTCTTGGATCTGCTCATAGTCAAAGGAGCGCAGCGCATATAGGACGCCAGTGTCAGAGTTGATGGAGACATAAGACGAGAGAGGCGTCGCCATGATGGTGTCTTTTGTCAGGGAGTAAGTGACCTGGGCATTGTTGCCACTGTCAGGGTCATGGGCCGTCACAGAGAAGATGGAGGCACCTCTGGGGTTGTTCTCCGGGATATAGGCTGAGTAGGAGGCATGAGGGAAAATGGGTGGATTGTCGTTGGTGTCTGCCACGTGCAGGGCAATATGAATTTCAGTAGATAGAGGTGGGGTTCCTAGATCTGAGGCCATCACTGTTATATTATACATAGAGATCTTTTCTCGGTCCAAATATTCCCATATCACCAATCTATAATAATTATCTATTGATTTTTCTAATTGAAAGGGTAAGTTATCACGTGTGTAACAGACAACTTGACCATTCTTCCCAGAGTCTCTGTCATGCACATTCAAGAAGGCAATTACTGTCCCAGGAAGAGTATTTTCCAAGACTGGGCTAAACAAAGATGTAATGGTCACTTCGGGTCTATTATCATTGACATCTTCCACTGAAATGAGCACTTTGGTCCGTCCCAGAAGTGCCCCCACATCTTCAGCCTGTATTTCCATGTCATAAAATGCACATTCTTCATAATCTAAACTCTTTGCTGTTGATATTTCGCCAGTATTTTCATTAAGCTGGAATAACGGAGATTGTTTTTCACTAATTTTCCAGAATTTATAAGCCACTTCTCCGTTGGTTCCCTCATCCGGGTCGCTAGCGCTTACAGTAAGCAGCCGGGTGCCCGGGGGCACGTTCTCTGGGACTTTCACTCGGTAAATCGGTTGAGCAAAAACCGGGGCATTGTCGTTTGTATCCAACACTGTCACTCGGATGTGCACTGTGCTGGAGCGACGCGGTTCGCCTCCATCGGAGGCGACGAGGACCAGACGGTGAGCAGCCTCCTCCTCGCGGTCCAGGGCGCTCTCCAGCACCAGCTCTGGGCTTGTAGTTCCGTCGTCTCTAGTTTGCACGTCCAGGGAGAAGTGGTGATTGGGGCTGAGCTGATAGCTCTGCAGGGAATTCAAGCCCACATCGGGGTCAACAGCCCCTGGGAGTGGATAACGTGTTCCGGGCAAAGCAATTTCGTTAATTTTTACTTCCAGATTGTCGACCTGGAACTTCGGATTATTATCGTTGATATCAGTGATTTCTATTTCTATTCCCCAAAGTTTCCCTTTATCCTCAACCAGGATGTTAATATTTACAAGACACCGCGCGCTCTGAGCGCAGAGCTCCTCCCGGTCTATCCTGCCCGCGGTGACTAAGCTGCCGCTTCCCGGGTTCAAAGCAAAGAGCTGCATCCTACCTCTGGAGACGATGTGGACTCCGTGCTGCGCCAGCTCTTGTGACTCCAGCCCCAGGTCCTTGGAGATGTTCCCCACGAAGTATCCTTTGTCGCTCTCTTCAGGCACGGAGTAGTGGATCTGTCCTCTCCCGATCTCCCCTAGCGTGCCCAGGAGCGCGCACAGCAGTACCAGATCGCCGCGTCCTCGGTAATTCTTTGGAGTGGCCATTGTTCTTTCACTAAGGAATCCACTCAGAATCTTCACTGGGCATATATGTCTTCTTTACCTTGTTGCTGCTTTGCAGATCAGCTTATGGAAAGCTGGAGTTTCCCAAATTTAGGGGCGGAATTTTGCTGCGGTCCTGCAGTTGGTTTGTGAGATCTGCGGGTCTTTGTGAGGTGGGAGCCCAGAGTATCCGGACGGTTTTTGGTTGCATTTATCTCCAAGTAGGTGAACAGCGGCGCTTAGAGTCCTAGGCAGTTACTGCACTCAGATTTGTAATATTGCATGCTAGATTACTTAGGAAAAAGTTACTACTTGCTTTTTATAGTTTGGAATAATTTATCTCTGAATTCATATTTTAAAAGTAATTGCCAAGAAGTGTGGGATGAAGTATGGTTAAAGTCTTAACAAAGTATTATTAAATGATCAGATTTTGGGGTTAGTGTCATATTAAATTACTCAAATTTCTGGAATATATTTACTCTTTTAAAAATAAAATTTTATTTCTTATTATGCTCTAAGCTTTATTGTTAATATCTTTAATATCTATTATCAAATAAGAACTACAGTTATCACTGGAAATTAATTCATTTTTAGACTAAACTATACCTATTGGAGATGACTGACCCAGAAGTTGTTTTATTTGGTTTAAAACAATTAATATTTATAGTAAGCTCCCTGTAGAGTTGTTGCCTTTTAATATTCTTTTTAAAATGGCATTTTAATTACACATTAATAATAATGTTTTCAAATTAATATTGTGATGTTTTACTAGGATATGTGCTTTTACTTTGAAGTTTTATCAGAGATTATTTAAATTTTATATATTTTCTATTTGAATAGAAAATACTTGAAAGATACAAAGGAACATACAATGAAAAGCAAATTTTCATCCTATTCTTCTGCCAGTGAGAGATGATTACATTTTAAAGCCAACTTAGTTAACCTTTAAACGTATACATATAATCTAAAGGTAATTTTACCTTAACTAGCACTTTGATCAAAAGAACCACAAAATTATCACTAAGGGGTCAAAAAGTGCCAGTGCAAGAATAAATGTCTCTTTTCTTCAGCAGTTTGTACAGTGGCCATTAACTGAGGCAGTTGCTAAGGGAAATCTAGCAAAGGCCCGATACAATGTATTATCATCTTGTGTATGTACTTGTATGCACATAAGACTGTCAGTCTTGTCTAAAATTTGAAGAATTCAACATGTTATTTTTCTCCTAGAGATAGTAGCATGACTAGAAGACCTCTAGCTATATTAGTTTAGGGCTACAAAAAAAAAGACATTTCAAAAATTACATAGGAGAAGTGTGTGTGAGAGGAATAACAGAGGCCAAAACATTGTGTTTTCTTTGATAGAGGAAGCCTATAGAATGAGCATCAATACAGATTAATCCTGAAAAACCTATGCTGCAAGTAAGGAGAACATGCTTTTATCTTCTGGTGAACATAGTGAATCTACTGATAAATAAAATGATTTTACACACACACACACACAGAGCACAATGAATACAATTACAGTAGGTCCATCTACATAAAAATACAGGTTAAGAGATGTTATTCTAGGAGTTTTTGAAACAAAAGAGAAGTAAATATAGGAAACAATATTAGATTAATATGGAAACCATTATAGTTAAATCAATTAAGAAAACTACCTAATTTTAGCTTATATTTTTTCTTTAAAGGTTTATTTATATGACTGCCTACATTTACATTTACAGTATGTCCAAGCTGAAAAAAAATCACAATATATTAAGCTGTGGAAGAAAAATTTAGGGAAAAATCTCAGTAGTTTTATGGGAGACCCTATAACATTGCCTAATGTTTCCCTTGTAGATAAAACCACAACTTGACTGCTTTGTAAATCTGAGCCTGGTAAGACACCACTAAAAGACACATAATTGCTCCGAATTCAAACTCCTTTGAAGAATGGTATGACAGCTTTTAGACCGGCTACTACACTCTTAAGACAATGTTTGGATCGAAAAATTGTATATAGGCACACAATATTTTGAGTTTGGTTCCAGAACACTACAATAAAGGGAATAGCACAATAAAGCGGGTCACAGAAATTTTTTGGTTTCCCAGTGCATATAAAAGTTATGTTTTAAGTGTGCAATAGCATTATATCTAAAAAATGTACATGCCTTAATTTAAAATACTTTATTGCTTAAAGATGCTAACCATCATTGGAGCCTTCAGTGAGTCAAACATAATCATTTTGCAATAGTAATATCAAAGATCACTGATTATAGATCGCCATGACAACTATAATGAAAAAGTTTGAAATATTTTAAGATTTAAAATATTGTGACACAAATTGTGACACAAAGACATGAAGTAAGCAAATGCTGTTGGAAAAATGGTGTCAGTAGATTTGCTTGACCCAGGCTTGCCACAAACCTTCAACGTGCAAAACAACAACAACAATGAAAAAACAAAGACTCAGTATCTGCGAGGCGCAATAAAGCAAAACGAAATAAAACAGAGATACGCCTGTATTTTCTTGTGAATATGGAGAACTGTCTAGACCATAAGTAGCAGGTTATACTTACAGGAAACTCACCTGATGGGAGGTTGACTCACTGGAATTACAAAGTGGAAATAAGGCCCCAGATGAATCACCACAAAGTATGTCTTGTCCTGAACTCAACTGCTCATTACATTTTAGAAAATTAAACTCTGTCTTTCCAGTATGGGCAACGCACAGATTGTAGGAATA